TCAGGAGCTGGTGATGGTAAGGTTGACTTGACCGGACAGGTCCGATTAAATGGAAGAGCATTGCTTCTCCATTAATTCATGAATCGTGGTCATTCATCCGTGGTCTGGCCAATTTCTGGTTTCCAGAATGTCTCAAAACCATCACCAGAAGTTCTGAAGGGCAAATAACAACACAGAGAATGAAAGAACCGGGTCCTCAGCTCAAGAATTTGCTTTGAGGATCAAACCTGAATTTCCGGTAGACCAATATATCCTGTCAGGGGTCTTCTAGAGAGGAGGGACCTGGTGGCCCTCCAGGTGCTGCTGAACATCTGCTCTGTCTTCAGAGCTGGCCCTGTTGATGAAGGATCCTGAGGGCCGCATCTTCAGAGGCTTTCATTGCCAGGTCATGAGCTGATCAAACCAGCCAGCTTAGCCTCAAGTCTGCCCCGTCTGTGAAATGGGCATAACGATGCGGCTTCCAGAATCATTTTTTTTCCAGATCGTAGGGAAAAGTGTTGGAACACAGGGAAGGGCTGGGTTAACGCAATGAGTACTGTGTTGTTGTTGTTAGGAACGGACGCCAGCATTCCTGTCCATATCAACAACATTTGCCAACGCAACTACGTCACGGTGGAAGGGGGCCGCAGACTGAAACCTACCAACCTGGGCATCGTCTTGGTACACGGCTACTACAAAATAGGTAATGGGCCATTTTGTGGTGGGGGAGGACAATGATAGGGAAATGAGTCTTAGGGCCAGGTTATTTGAAGGACCCTTCATCTCACAGGGAGAAATTCACCTATTTGTCTTGGCAATTGAAGAGAAGTGGTCAGGTCCCAGGATTCCCCAGACACCAGGTTGTAAAATTGGTGGACTTCAATACCCAGAATTCCCCAGCCAGTCTGCTTTAAGGCAGGGTGGATGCCAACTTCCAGAATTCCCCAGCCAGCATGCTTTAAGATGGGTGGACTTCAACTCCCAGAATTCCTCAGCCAGCATGCTTAAAGACATGTGGACTTCAGTACCCAGAATTCCCCAGTCCGCGTGCTTTATGATTGGCGGACTTCAGTTCCCAGAATTCCCCAGCCAGCATGCTTTAAGTCGGGTGGACTTCAACTCCCAGAATTCCCCAGCCAGCATGCTTTAAGATGGGTGGATGTCAACTCCCAGCTGGCTGGGGAATTCTGGGTGTGAAGTTGGCATGTCTGAAAGTTGCTGAGTGTGAAAAACACAGACCTAAGAGGACTCCATGCATTTTGCAGAAAGCCTGGATGTTTCTCTCAGGCTGATCTTCTTGAACATCCTGCAAGCTTTCATCTATCTCAGTTTCTCTCTTCCCCTCCGGGTAGATGCGGAGCTGGTTCTGCCCACCATCCGCAGCGCAGTGGAGAAGCAGCTCAACCTGATTGCTCAAGGAAAAGCCAACTACCAGCAGGTCCTGGAACACACCTTGGACATCTTCAAAAGGAAGTTCCACTACTTTGTGGATTCCATTGCTGGTAGGTCTCCACTCCTCCCCAGAGGCTCCCTGGCTGGCAGGTTAGAATTTGCCAGTCATTAAACGAAAAATCACACGTATGAGTCAGGGATTTATACATAAGAATTCTCTTCTTCTTCTTCTTCTTCTTCTTCTTCTTCTTCCTTCTTCCTTCTTCCTTCTTCCTTCTTCTTCTTCTTCTTCTCTCTCTCTCTCTCTCTCTCTCTCTCTCCCCTTCTTCTTCTTCTTCTTCTTCTTCTTCTTC